TTTGAATTTCCAATGCGCAATGGATGAAAATTCTATTAGGACTGGATGGAGTCCACAGTGTTCGCATGTGGATCGATCGGTCGCTTTCCTCAATAATTGTTGGCTCTGTGTGGAAATGGAAATCAATTTCATGCATGCGGGATTATGGGATGGCATGGAGATGGAGATGCTCTCTCCAATAAAGTTTTCCAAACACGCAACGGAACGCAGCTTGTAATTTTCTCAGAAGAGAGAACTTCCCCCAACCCTCTCCCCACCAAACTGTGAAAACTGTGTAAGCATTTTCCACTCATTCCAGTCATGCATTGCTGCTCTGCAGCTGACGAGAAATGAAATTCTCATCCGTCCATGAACTCTTTCCTCTGAACGCCTTCCTCTCGTGTGAGGATTTTTGTTTAGGGTGTGAGATTCCATCTCCTACCTCGCCCCCATGGACAACGACGATTTTTACTGCGTAGTTTTTCCATGCATTTTCCCCCGCATGCAGTTCCTGAGACACGTTTCAAGTACGCAGCGAAAGCGAAAATGAAAACAGTGCGCAATTTTTACCCAACACGCGGCCCCCCATGGTGGAACGAGGGGGTAGGCGAGTGTAGCCGTGTGGGTAGAAGTAAAGGGACTTTTGTGCTTATCATCTCACGTGCGACATTATCATTGCCTTTCCTGTGAAAAGAGCTTAGACTTTTCCACCTAATAATCGTCACAAATGTGATGAAAACACCCAGGGGGGAATTTTGTTTAAATTCCAGTAGACAGACAAGTACAAAATTAGTAAAATATTAAATTGGGCTTATCATTTTTATTCGAAATATTTGTTACAGGGAGAAATTAAACATTAAAACGAATTTAACTCGGTTTTAACTTTATTTTTAAACAGTAAAGTGCTTAATATTAAATTACGAAAGTGAAATATGGTTTGCCTTTGTGCATTTGGTTTTTTTTTGTGTTCTCAGGTTTTTTTTTATACATTTTTTGGAACCGTATAAGTGTCAGAAATACGTATTCAATTTTCATTTAACCTACGTATGTACATATGAATTAATATATGTATTTACTTGTATTTGAATAGAAATAGCAAATTGTTGATTCTCAATTGACACCACAATGTCGAGTCGTCGGAAAAACAACTGCAAGTCCGCGGCGAATATCCAGATATCAATTGAAACATATTGATTAAATATTTGCATTTGACGCCATTCAATGGAATGTGGGAATATTTTCTCAGAACAGTAAGCGCCACCACAGCAAAGCAATCAAGATATTTCTTACATATTTGTACGTACGTGCAATCCCTACTAAGATTGTGGCACTTAGTTCTGTGATTGCATTCTCGAATGAAAAAGATGTCAGATTTATCTAGGAAAAAGTTGATTCTTGAGGATGGTCAACCCTTGAACTTATCGAATCAAAAATAGAGCAATTAAAAAATAGTAAACTAATTTTCTTAAATGGTTCTTTAGTGCGCCCAGACAATGTTTTATGGCAATAAAATGTAGCAAAAACTGTTACTAAATATGGGCAAGTACTTTCCATTGGTTGAGGTCTTTGTCAAAGTTCTATGGACCAATAAAAACCAATAAATCAATAAAAAATATACAACCAATAAAAACTATTATAGGCAAGGATAAGAGGGCTACGTGTAGGTCAGGGTTTTGGCTTGACATTCGACCACAACCCAGCGACAATTGACGAAAGTCGTCTGCTGACGGAAATCTTTGGTAACATTTCCAAGCCTCGAAACAGTTTTGTGGCTTATTGATTATCTTTTAAAAGAGACACGCAATAGACATGCGTCACATATATATCGTCGTAAGAGTGGAACTTAAGAACAGCGGCCGCCTGTGAGTGTGGAAATGGAATAGATTTTCCCCGGCATCAGTGGGCGTCTGACCGACAGCTGGGGGATGGGCTGTGGAGGTCGAGGGTCCATGGCTAGTGGTTTAGTCATTAGATGGCCTGGCCGAACGCCTGGCCAAAACGATGAGTGGGCCTGGTCTCGTGTCGCGTTTGTTGGTTGTTAAGCGGCGAAAAATCATACAAATGCCAACATGAAAACAACAGCGAAACAAAGCAAAACAAAACAAAAGCGATAAATAATGGAATGGAAGAGGAGAATATAAGAGAGAGAGAGAGATAGAGGGAAAGCAGAGAGGCAAAAACTTGTCTCATTATATTTTGTGGGAGCCGCCGCCTTGTCCATTTTTGTTATTATATGCCTATGCCGGTAGTGCCCATTTGCACAGGGTATTATGATTTTGTGCAGCTGTTTGTAAAAGCAGCTTCTACCCCATAATATATGTAGGTGAATATTTTCGATCAGCAATCGATTGCCAAAGAGATATAGCCTTGGTCTGTCTGTGCATCTATTGATATGCAAAGTTTCTTCTATTTGCTGCAGTCAAAAAACATTAACATTCGTGGAATTTTACATCCGACGTTCAACGACGATATATTTTGTTCAATTTTCAAAAAACAAACAGCTAATTTTGTGTGTGTTCAAGAAGTAGTACAGTTGTTTTTCAGTTATATTGTTATATTTTTTCCCCATATTTAGATCTTTTTGTGATTTCATTCTCAAATATGCCTTTCTCTTTGTGTGACTCGAAATTAAACTTAATTATAATTTCCAAATAGGATTACTACTACATATATTATTAGGCAGCACTGTCGGATCCTCGAGGGTATCGAAAGATTCGGTTATTCCCTCTTGTTTTTATTTCATCAATGGACGATATGTGGGACTGAACTTTTGGCCCTCACTACAATGTATTATTGTTATTGTTGTTGTTTTTTTTTTTTTTGGTGTAGAGTAAATAATGTCATAAGGTCACACACAGATACACACATACAGAAACCCCCATTAAAGGGGGGGAAAGCGAATACCCCACTCCCACAGCAGGCGGCCTAATGGTCTGCCATTCACTGTGCTTCTGCTGCTGCCGTTGTCTTTGTTTTTGTTGTTGGTCATTTGTTTTGGAATTCTCATTGGGGCTGGGCCCCCTTCCTCTGGCCTGTCCCGCTGATGCTTTCATTTTATATGTATATAAAATAGCATAATAAATGAATGGAATGATGGCACCGACCCATCCCAGGTTAGATTTCGCTATCTCTGCCGATCTATCCGATATATTAATTGTCACGATGGGGTTCACTGATGATGTTTCGCCTGTGCTTGTTGTTGCTTTTGTGTAGAGAGGGGCTCGACCTCCCACGGCGAAGGTTATTCAGATAAATTAAACCAAAGACACTGCGAAAAAGTAAAGAAAAACTTTGTGTGTAAACAAGCTGATGAGCTGTATGTATACACGTATACATTCTGTGGAAAATTCAATTTTATTGCACTGCGAAACGTGCGAATCAAAAAGGAGAAAAAGTGTCGACTTTCAGATACCCAATAAATATCTGCACTTATTTTTAATGGTGATTATTTATGGAAGATAGGTAGATAATATTCTAAGTATATATACATACTCTACTCTGTAACTCTACAAAAAACGAGACATAAAGAATGAGAATATCTATCAAATTATCAACACCGCAGATGTTTCTGTCTTTGCATAAAATGTAAAATAAATCTTCAAATACACAACAATAGTATTGGCTCTACCTCTATAGTACAATCTGTATATAATCTTTTGCGAATATATTTATGGGGTAGGTTCTACGGCTGTACTTAAGCATACCCCCCCTTAAGCATACCCTGCATCTCGTTATAGCGGCGTATAAAATGTGGCATGGAATAAAAGGCAGCTGTGCAAACTCTTTCTCTGTGTGCCACTCTCTCTCTCTTCCAGCCAGTTCCGGTTGGCCAACACACACACACACGCAGGCGTTTGCTTGTTTGTCATAGCGACGCGCCCACGCATCGTTTCCATTACCATCAGCAGGCAGGCAGGCAGCTGTTGGCCAAGTTTGATCGCATTTACCTGTTTGTCACTCATACGCCTTGTGGCTACCCAGCCAGTCCTCAGTCCGCCCTCTCCCTGTGTATCTGTGGGTGGGTTGTGCTGCTGCAGCGTGTGTGTTGGCCATGTTTAACATGTTTTTACTCGCGAGGGAATTGACTGCGGGCCATGCCATGGACTCGACTCGACACGCTCGAGGTTTGACTTGCATTTTTGTGTGCGAAAACAAGTTCCTCCTTCCGAGTGAAAACATAGTTAGTGTGTGTGGCACCCCCGCTCTTGCCTCTGCTGCAAATTGAAGTTCATGCAAATGCGACTGGCACCACCAACGTTTGGTGCTCCTGGCGCAACGTCCTTCATTACTGTCTTAATTTCCGCTTTACATTTCCTTCGAGTTGACAGCCAACCGCCGGTCCCACCTGGCGCACCAACTAGTGTTTCCGGTCAATGGCTTTTCCGGGGGAAAAAGGACGCTTAAATGTCATTTAAAGTGGAATGGGAAAATTTAATTAAACGCTGACTGCCGGCTCCTGCTTCTTGCATTTGCCTCAAGGGCTGTGCGACTCTGAGCCCAGACGTTTTCCTAGTTTCAGCTAAACTTCCCTTCCCCTTAGGGGCATGTAAATTGTCGGGATTCGGGCAATAGCTGCAATGTCCAATCATCAGTCGAATCAATCAAATCAAATAATTCAAAAGCTGAAGCTTAAGCGACATTTTGCCTGGCAACAATATGGTCGTGGCTTTGCTTCTTCTCGGGGGAAAGTGAATTCACCCACTGGCTGAAACGTTATTGGCCCCTGGCCCCTGGCCCCTATCCTCCTATCAGTTATCTCTTATCTGTCGGCACAAAGAAATCACAGCTACCCCACACCCACCAACACACACACACACCTGTAAAAGAAGAGCTACGATTAGATATAACCTTCATTTATATATATAACATTTTTTTATCAGAGTTTTGGTTTTGTGGTTTTGTGATGTCAATTTTTTTTTGTAGCAATTTCTTTCCCTACCGTTGATAAATGGAGACGTAGCTATGTATCTATCTGACAAGCCTTTTAAATGTCAATTCGTTTACTTTTGTTCTATTTTCAGTGCATGTGATGCCAAAAAACACATAAAATATAACCAAGCAGTAACACAAGAGACACAGAGAGACAGAGCGCCAAAGCCAGTGTCCGCAGAGCGAGAGAGTGCAGCAAGTGGAATATGTGAAAAATTCAATAAAAAAAATTGATGTGCCATTCAGGAGCAGAAGCAGCCGCAGCAGCAGCAACCTAGAAGCTAAGCGAGACGCGAGAGTATTATCCACAAAAGTCAGAAGGCGCAACAGAGCAACAATCCCTCCAGCAACAACAAGAACCTGAAAACAACAGCAGACGGCCGGACAGCAGCGGAAATCTAGAAGCAGGTGAGTTTTTCTTTATAAATAAAACACCCGATATTCGTATTAATTACTTAACTTATAATTTATTGCAGTGTAAATACAACTGTAACGAATTTAAAGCAGGAGCAGCAGCAGCGGCGCAGTTGCCACAAAACAGATACAGATTTCATGCCACCCGCAGACGTTGGTTGATAAATGTCAAGATAAGTCGCTACCGTTTCAACACCGCCATCAACATAACCCAGCAACAGAAACAGCAGCAACTGCAACAGCAACAGCAGCAGCAACAACAGAGACGGGTACATCAAACAGAGAGAAGCATCCACCAGCACAGCATTTGTTGCCATTGGAGGAGCAGCAAAAGAGCGGCAGCAGCAGCAGCAGCAGGACAACAGGAGCAGCAGCAGAAGCCGAGCAGGAGAAGCTCTGCATAGGCGTCAGTGGCAGCGGCAGCGGCTTAACCAAGGGTCGAGGAAACAACTGCAAGACGCCAAACTCTACTGCAAAAGTCGCCAACATAACACATAAAATTTTCGGTTGGCTACGCAAATCGCGAAACAAACGGCCAGTCGAGATCCTACGAAGCGATTTCGAAGGCGAAGACGGCGACGGCGACGAGGGGGAAGGAGGAGCAGAAGCAGCACCTGGGAGTGCAGCTGCAGGTGGGTCAGGTGCAGGTGCAGCCGCTCAGCAATTTTCAGTGGCAAACGTTCGATATAAAGCCGGCAAGCTGAATACCACACAGACAGCCACGGAGACCACCACCGCCATCGATTCAAACGAACCCAAATCTGAAAAGATGTCATCGGGGGGCACGTTTGTGGATCGAATCGACCCGTTCGCCAAACGTTCACTCAAAAAGAAGGGTAAAAAGAGTCAAGGTTCCTCGCGCTACAGAAATTCACAGGATGTTGAGTTGCAGCAATTGCCGCCGCTAAAAGGTACGCTAGGACCTTCTCCTGTAATCCATTTACACGAAAACACTCTAATAAATTCCATTCTCTCTCGATAGCCGATTGCTCCAGCCTCGAACAGGAGGAGCTGTTCATACGAAAGCTGCGTCAGTGTTGCGTATCATTTGACTTTATGGATCCCGTCACGGACTTGAAGGGCAAGGAAATCAAGCGGGCGGCACTCAATGATCTATCCACCTATATAACGCACGGGCGCGGTGTGCTTACGGAACCAGTCTATCCGGAAATAATACGCATGGTACGCAACATTGCATGCGCAACAAATCGACGAATTATTAATAATGAAATCCAAAACCTTTTTTTTTCAGATTTCTTGCAACTTATTTCGCACACTGCCGCCCAGCGAGAATCCGGACTTTGATCCCGAGGAGGATGATCCAACACTGGAGGCCTCCTGGCCACACCTACAGCTGGTGTATGAGGTGTTCTTACGCTTCCTGGAATCGCAGGATTTCCAAGCAACCATTGGCAAGCGTGTGATCGATCAGAAGTTTGTCTTGCAGGTGCGCTGGAAATTAACTCCATTATAATGGAATATCTTACTTATAATATTAATTTTCTAGCTCTTGGAGCTGTTCGACTCTGAGGATCCACGTGAGCGTGACTTTCTCAAGACGGTGTTGCATCGCATCTATGGGAAGTTCTTAGGATTACGCGCTTTTATACGAAAACAAATCAATAACATATTCTTGCGATTCATCTACGAGACGGAGCATTTCAATGGTGTCGGCGAACTGTTGGAAATACTCGGCAGGTATGTCTCACTATTAGATTACTATTCCCTTTATTATTGATTTATTAATCCATTATATATTCACTCCACTTGGCAGCATCATCAATGGCTTTGCCTTGCCACTGAAGGCCGAGCATAAACAGTTCTTGGTCAAGGTCCTGTTGCCGCTGCACAAAGTCAAATGCCTATCGCTATATCATGCACAGTTGGCATATTGTATTGTACAATTCCTAGAGAAGGATCCATTCCTTACCGAGCCGGTGGTGCGGGGCCTGCTCAAATTCTGGCCAAAGACGTGTTCCCAAAAGGAGGTCATGTTCTTGGGCGAAATTGAGGAGATACTCGATGTGATTGATCCGCCGCAGTTTGTCAAGATCCAAGAGCCGCTCTTCCGGCAGATTGCCAAATGTGTCTCTAGTCCACATTTTCAGGTGCGACCCTTTCTATTTATTCAACAAAACTGCCCAAGTGTAGAATTGCATTTTAATTTGTATACTTCTCTTTGTAGGTTGCTGAACGCGCTCTTTATCTGTGGAACAATGAGTATGCCATGTCGCTGATTGAGGAGAACAACGCGGTGATTATGCCCATCATGTTCCCGGCCCTATATCGCATCAGCAAGGAGCACTGGAACCAGACCATTGTGGCGCTCGTCTACAATGTGTTGAAAACATTCATGGAAATGAATTCAAAGCTGTTCGATGAGCTCACCTCCAGCTACAAGGCGGAGAGGCAAAAGTATGACTGGCGCAACTCCTCTGAATATGTGTAATAATGTTTGTTTTTTTTTTGGTTGCCACCAGGGAAAAGAAACGTGAACGCGATCGCGAGGAACTGTGGAAGAAGCTGCACGAACTCGAATCGAATCGTTCTAGTGGGCGCACCGCAGGCGGCAGCGCAGCTGCGAATGCATCGAACAGCGCATCATCATCCAACGCGGCGTTGGCGTCCACGTCCTCCCAACTGCAGCCACCATCCAGCAGCACAGCCGCCATTAACTCTCATCAGCAGCAGCAGTCGAATAGCAGCAGCAGTGGCAGTCTGTCCAGCGGCGGCGCCGGCGGTGACAATAATCCTGCGACCACAAATGCAAAAATCAAACAGGATAAGGCGGCGGACAACTAAACAGCAGAGCACACGCAAACGCAAGGCATGCGCCCGAAATAAAACTAACAATAATGAAAAACGAGAGCCGTAAAGCGCAGTCCAGTCCGTTGGCTAACACGTAAAAGCCTCTGTCGTTCCACATCCCACACGTAACAGATAGACAGACAGACGACGGACGAACGGATAGATACAGAGAGAGAGAGAGAGAGAGAAGGCGATAAATAGTTATACTAAAAACAAAAACACATACATATGCTAAACTTTAAACACAACAAGAAAATATGAAAAAAAACAAACAAAAAAAACAAACAACTAAAATGTATACTCGATTGACGAAGACACCAACCAAGCGGACGTCAGCGGAGGTGAAGGAGGATGAGGGATGCTTGAGCGGCTGTTGAGAGGAAAGATGAAGTGATGTATGAGTGGGAGTGAAAGCAGAGTGGAAAGCGAAGCGATAGCGGTTGCAAAGCCCCCTGTCTGTGTGTGTGTTATGTTAAGAGAGCAGAAGCTTCGTCGCGTGCGGCATCAATGGAAATCTATATAAATAATGTATCTTACACCTAAAAAAACGACACACACACACAACAGTAAAACACACACACATAAACACCCGCACACACACACAGACACATATAAATATATATATTAAAAAAAGAAAGAAAGAAAGAAAATATTATTAATTACGTTTAAGCATAAAACAAAAAAAAAGGAAAACCCCGCAAGTTGAATAAAGAGAAAATCATGTTAGTAAGTGAAAAGCAGAAGAGAGCCGATAACTATAACTATGATTGATTGATTGATTGATCGATGATTGATTGTTGATGTAGAAGAAAGAGCATTGAATATTATTAACTACTAAAACATACTACTGCTAACTAGAAGGCCCTTCCCTAGCATATAGATCAGCGCCATCCCTCCCATACCCCATACCCCACCCTAAAAAAAAAACAAACAAACAAAAAACACTTACTAAAAGAAATATCACCTAAATGTTCACTGTGTGTAAAATAGTTGAAAGCTGCGCTGCTCTGATAGATTTTCAGTGTTTCTTTTTTTTTTTTGTCACACAGCTCCTACATAGAACGAACGGCGTGTCTTAGTCCCTGAATTGTATATAAATGCAGCGCATCCATGCAAACGAAACTTTGTTACTTAGCTTTAAGTGTTGCACACACACACACACACCAACAAACAAACAAACAAACGCATACACACTCCGTCAAGACTTCTCTCGAACACAAAGAAAATTCCAAACATTTCGACCCAGCCCTCGCGCTTGTATCATGTTTTAGCACATTGTTTAGGAAGAGAGCAGATAGCAGCTGGCAGTAAACAAAAATCTATGCATATGATTAAGTACAGAATTATATATATATACCGTATACCACATAACTGATGGATCTATATAGAGATGTGTGTACGTAAGGAAGCGGAAGGCAGTAATGGAAAACAAACAACAAAAATTATGAATTGTAAAAAACAAAAAGAGAAACAAACCAGCAAGCAAGCAAATGTTCGTCTATATAGAAGCATAACACGGTTATAGAAATTGAAAACTGTCATCTATCCTATACGCGATATCTACATATATCCTATATTCATCCTATACACACATACGAGTCGTATCTCTGTGGAAAGCGGTCCAGTTTCAGGAAATTCTTTTCGAAACTCTTTCTCGTTTATATATTTTTTCATGGAAATGCGCACAATTGTCATTCGATTTGCTAAACAACAATTTCATTTGTAAATAAATGTAGCTAAGGTGGAAAACAACTGTCGTGGTAATGGAAACCCAGTGGACTGCTTTCCCCGTCCTCTCATACACACACACACACAACACACTCACTTAGCCGCACTCGTATATTATTGAAATAAAAATATATAAAATTTATATATTAACAGAAATATACTATGCATAATGTATGTTTGTTCATTCAACTCTCACGCCCATTACAAAGTATAGAAGCATGCATTATAGTACATATAGGAAAAGAAACTATGAGGGGGACAGAGATGGGAGCTAGCATATTGTAGGAGAGGAGTAGATACGAGCTCTACTAAAGGGCGCCGTCTCAATCGCGAAAAGTTCATATAATATTAAAGATAATTGTGTCTGTGAATCGTGAGTTAATATACACCATATACTGTATACATATACATATATATATATATACATAATGAAAAAGCAAGAGGAAAAAACTAAAAGAAAACATACAGCGTTAGCGTTATTATTATGATAAATATGTTTGTAAAACGTCAAGAAAATGGAAGCAGGAGGCAGGTATCTATGTACTACAGAAGCAGGAGAGGAGCAGCTATATACATATGTCAGAATACAAAAGAAGATGAAGATGAGAGGAAATTGAAGAACCTATATGGCCTAACTACTAAGCAACGTATGTAAGAAGGTTTTGCATCTTTATATTAGCGTGTAATTAAACGAAATTAAAACCGAAAGCTAAAGATTTAAAGCCCAAGGATAGCAATTGCCATTGGATAAGCAATAGACACACACAGAAGTTAGGTCTTAACTGCCTCTAAAGACAACACACACAAAGAAAAACCAAACACCAAGGAACAGGACCCCACAGAGCGTCCAACAGAGAGTTGAAGCAACACAGAAAATATCTCGTAATTCCTAAACCATAAATCACTCCACTCACCAGAAACCCCCACTTCCAACCCCCCACACCCATCCATCTCTAGTTAATGTTTGAAGAAGCTCACATAGGATGCCAATCAGAAACAAAACAAAAAACCAGCATTATTATATAGAGAATGATGGAAATGTAAAAACAAAACAAATGTTGGAATGGAAAAATGAAATGGATACAAAACGATGATATATACATAGATGACATAAAACTCGTTAAAGTCGAGCATAAGTGTCCCTTCAAATATATATACATGCATACATACATACATACATACATAAACACATGCATATAATTTGCGTTTGGTTTGTGTATTCTTGTGATCGGCGTTTTCCGTTGCACCCTGAGTTAATCGATCGACTTAGTATCTGCTTTCAAGAACTTGTATGGGTAAACTTAACTATAGTTTCTATTATTGTATTTATATGTACTATGTATAAACTATACATAAATCGAGCATGTTAAAATGTAGTAGCCAGTAGCTATGCTTAGGATCGGGCTAAGCGACAGACGATGTGGTATAAGCAAAAAAATGCAAAATGCAAAAAGCAAAAACTCGTTAAGTACTTTTAGAGACAACAACAAAAAACCCCTGTACTAAAGAAGTGTACTAAAAGAATAAAGTCGCATTAACAAACGTTGCAAAAGTAAATAAAAAAAAACAAATAAAAAAAACTTTATGAAGATACAAAAAAAAAAATCACAACCACAATAAGAGCAAAAAAGATAGTTAAAGCGCTTAAAAACAATTTAAAAAAATGAAAATACTATGGATACTAAAAAAAAAAATGAGAAAAGAGGATGATGAGGATGAGATGAAGCATAAAGGATAACGTATAAAAGATAAAGGAAAATGGAAAAATATATGTGAATTATGATGTATTTTCTTATGTTCTAGACTTGTATAAAAGAAAAGAAAACCTATCTATCGTATATGATGATGATGATGATGATGATGACACATGCTATTATTATTAATCTTTTAGTTCAGTTCTCCAGGGCAGTGTTGTGCGAGGATATTTCGATATGTTTTCATGGATTGAAGGCACACTGTACTACACACACACACCACACAGTCACACACACACACATCAAATCACTCAATCACACAACTAAACAAAATCTTATGCTGAGAGTAAATATAAAGAGTAAATTATAATTACACACGAAACAAGATATGAGAAAATAAATGGGAATAAATATATATACAATATATGTATAGGTATATATATGTATTACATAAATATATATATATAAAAACAAAAGTATATATACAAAAGAGCATTCGAAGAAAAAACAAAACAAAACAAAGGTTTTTAGTTGATGATTTGCTTTCGCAACTCCACAAACAGATTGAACGCGCGCGAATGATGATGGGAAAACCTAAGGGCAAAATGGAAAAATGCGCAGCAGAAGAGCAGCAGAAAAGTTAAAGAAAAAAATTGCAAAAACAAATATTTAGCTGCAAGCAGAATTAACCAAAAAATAAATGGAATAAAAAATTAAAATATAACATGAGAAAAAAACAACACACACACACACACACAAAATGCATGAGGATGGACATGAAAGCGGAGAGAAAAGAAGCAAAGAGATCAATCAACAATAAAAAAATTAATAAATAAAAAATATAACAACATATTTCGTTTTATTTTGAATTCACGCAGGCGAGTTAGCGATGCAGAGAGGGTTGTGTGGCGTTCAGCTTTTGTTCTTGGGCCTGCAAGCTTTTTATACCCTGTATTTGTGGAGTGTAAAGGGTATACTGTGTGTTGTGCGGGGGGTTCGAATTTCGCTTCCCATTACAGGATCATTGATCATTCAGGATCAACGTGAGGAATCTTTTTAGCTTTACTTTAGAGATCATTTAACGCATTGGGGTATGGGGTAATGGGTATCTCCCATTGTAGTCACTTTTCTGTAGCTTTGAGCTTCTCAGCTTTTCAGCTTCTGAAGCATCGCCACAAAAGCTAGCGAATGCAGTTGGTCGCTGCCGTCGCCAAGTGCAGTCAAACGCAACGCGAGAAAAATCAATTTTCAAAGTTTGCACCGTCTCCTGGCCTCATCCTTGATGAAGTGGGAAAACTATTGTGATTTCGTGGCTGGCTGTTTTGGTGGTAAGTAAAACAAAAAAAAACAATAACTTTAAAGCTAAAATCCAGAGTCGGGAGAGGTGAGATCAGTGCGAAATGGATGACGCAATGGCTGTGAGCCATCTGTGTGCCACTTGTTGGGCAGAGCAGCAGCCGCAGCAGCAGCAGACGGGCGCCATGGTCAAGTTCACGTGCGACGCCCCTGATCTGCGAGGCTTATTTCTGTGTGCGGCAGTCGAATTATTTGGCAGGCAGCAACATGCAACATGTGTTGATAGCCCCCTTCCCACCCATGCCCCACCATGTGCGCTAGGCATGATGGGAATTATAATTAACATTTAATCTACGGCCATCGGTTTGATCTTCTCCGCACAGGTGCCTGCGGCGTGGTGGTGGCCCATCCGCTCGACACGATCAAGGTATGGCAGCAGGCATCCAACTCCTCCGTCCAGACGGCCATCCAT